AATCAATAAAAACTTTTCAACGATTTTTTCGATTGTCAATTAGGATTTTTTTTTTTTTTTTGCTTTCTCTCTATTTAATCAATTCTTTCATTTTGTATTTTTAAATAATTTATTTGGTTATATCATTGCCATTAGTTGTTGTTGATGTGTTGTGAAGAAAAACATCATAATAATTCATTCATAAATAATCAATTATAGATTACATGATGAAAAGTTTTTCTTTCCATATTATTACTACTCTTTAAGTACGGTATATATCCAAATGTATTAAATCATTTTGATAAATAAATAAACCCTAAAAACATTTTCTGGTATATTCTTTCACTTTTTATTTTCACTCTCGATAATATTAATCAATTTGGAAAATACTCGAAAATTTTCCTGGACTTTTTACTTGATTGTATGAATGTATTCATTGTTTTTACATTCGTTTTCAATATTGATGTCAAGTTTTGTTGTTTATTATTATTATTATTATTTTCGTATTGAAATTTGAATCTTGAACAAAATAAATTAGACAAATATAGTGTGAATGTAAAAAAAAATACTAAATGAAAATTACTTCTACAATACTTAAGTCATGTCTGTTTTTGGGTTTTTTTCTCTAATTGATTGATTGATTGATTGATTGATGACAAATTTTGAAAATGTAAATAAAATTGAGGATAATCTAATTCCAATTGGCAAACAAAAAATCGGATAATCTTATTTAGGATTAGGATTTAGTGTTGAAAATTTCTAATTTCAAATGATGATAATAATGAACAAATATTATCATCAAAATATTAATAGTAATAAAATTGTTGCTGGAAATTCCATCAACTCGAATTCAATTGATAAGCACTTATGTGTTGTTGTTGTTGTTGTTTTTTGAATAAGGAAAAAAACTAACCGAACAAATGTCAAAGTTTAATTGGTCGATGTTTAAAAATAAAAAATAATAATCAAATTGATTGTAGAGAGAGAGAGAAAAAAAATGGGCTTTTCCCGGCAAATCTCCATAAATGTTGATTTTAAATCGCAAATTTTATTTGAATTTTCTCAACAAAAAAAAAACAGGAGTGAATAATCTTTTCCCTTACATAACAACAACAACATTAAGTAATTTGCAATATTGATTGATTTTTTTTCATTCATTCATTCAAAATTTAAAGATTATTATAAATTTCCCTAATTTGATTGAACAAAAAGACTATTTATATCATCATCATCATCATCATTGAGTGATTATAAAATGATATAATCTTTGTACATTTTTTTTAAAAAAAGAAATTTAAAAAGAAATAATGATGATGTTGAAATTTTTTTCAAGGTTTTTTTGAATGATTCTGACATGCGTTAAAAGAACTTAGCAACTAAATTTTTTACTGATCATTTTTTGAAAAACTTAGTTTCATTCATTCAAACAATGACGTTGATTATTTTTTTTTTGTATCGGGAAAAAAATTCTGACAAGAATTCTGATATGATGATGCAATTATATCAATCATTTATGTTTGTTTGTTTTATTTTCTCGAAAAAAACAAATAATTTTTGATGTGAATGTATGAATGAAT